CGTCCCGCGGTACGTTTCCCTGGCAAAAAGCTTTTTAAATGAGCACGTCGCCGGTTCGCCATCGCGTCGAGGAGAACTCGGCCGTAATTTCGCGCGTGACCGGAATCGCTGTTACTTACGATAACGAGAGGATTTCGTTGTAAAAACGACCGATCGTCGGACAATCGCGCATTCAATCACGGTCATTAGCGATTGTCAGGTTTAAAGACTTTATCCGGCATTTTTTTTCTCCACCGGTGCAGTCTATTTAATCGAAATCGAAAGCTAATGGAATACCATTAAACTCGCACGAACCGCATGGCCGAACGTGGAATTGCTCGGTGGACAACGTTAGGACGCAAGACGAATTATGCAATACATAATAATTCGCTCGTTACGCAGGTGATCGCTTAATTTAATTTGCGGCGAAAAAAGTTCCGCGACATTTGGCTCTGTTCAAATCCGACCCAGATGCTACAGATCTTGATTTAACGAAACAAGCTATTATTTTTCCTGTATGCGACGCCGAAAATGGTCTCCTCGGCGATAGAAACGAAGGTAATGACCGGACTACGGATTTTATGCACTTTTGACAAAGTGACTAGGTGAAAAATGAGATTGTAAAGTCATGAGATGGATTTGAGAATATTTATACAGGGTGTCCCAGGTTTTAATGTTCAAACTTTGTCAGTGTATTCTATGGCACGAAGTGAGAAAAAAATGTTATGTAAACATAGGTCATATAGAGCTTCATTAACACGTTCCGTGCCGAGCTTTTTTTACTCGAATCTTCACACTTTGATATTTTACTAAAACTTGATGTATTATTAATTCTCGTACACATAACAACGTAACAAAAACTTATCAACGCCCATCCTTGCGGTGGAAATTGATTCTTCGGTTCTAAATTTCTTGTAAACAATTTGTTCAGTTCACTAAGTAAACATGCAAGCGTGTACCATCGATGGTACACGTGGCACGGAACGTGTTAAGAAGTTATAACAAAAATTCAGAATAAGAATAGTAATCAACTTGCTGTTACTGCGAGCATTGGCTTGAATAGATCAGCACATGCCGTGTGTTTATGTAAGCTGTGTTTATTAATACATTTTAAAATGTCTACCGTTGTTGACAAATACATGATTGACATGGATCGAAGATCGAATTTATGAACGTGCGAATTTCATTTCATTGAACGAATTTTTGTTATAACTTCTTAATAAAGCTCTATATGACCTATGTTTGCATAACATTTTTTTCTTACTTTGTGCCATAGAATATACTGACAAAGTTTGAACATTAAAACCTGAGACACCCTGTATATTGTGTACAACCTATTAAAATTGTTAAAAGAAGAAGGACATTTTTGTTTGACTTACGTTTCTTGCAGTCGACTTTGACAATTTTTATTTTGCATCAAAATCTACGGTCTAGTAATAACTAAACAGCGTTTAGTTTAAATAACCAACGGAGTTTATTCATTTATGAGAAAAGTGTACGCATAAAATTAAAAACAGTGAAACATTTGAAGAATATGAAAATACTGTTGTATTATGTTCAGCATATTACGATTATTAAGAAAAGAAATAAATGTCTATTTATTTATAGGTATCTTGCAAATCATGCAAACAACTTTTATAC